TGACTCTTTTGAGAACTTAAAGCCCACCCCTGGTGACATCCTCCAACAAAGCCACACCTCTTATTCCTTCCCAAACAGTTCCACCAAATGGGATCAAGCATCCAGGAATATGAACCTGTAGGATCCATTCCCATTCAAACCACCACAGGTGTCGTGCATACAGACAGAGCACTCTGCCTCTGGGATACATACTCTTGTTTGCATCTACTATTTTTAACATTTATTTATTGTGTGAATGTGCATATGTGCATGTGGCCAGACCCACATGGGATGCATGTGAATGTCAGAGGACAATTTTTGAGAGTCAGTTCTCTCCTCCTACTTTATAGGTCTGGGGAATGGGACTCGGGTGAGAGATCAAACTCAGGTCATCAAGCTTGGCAGCAAATCCTTTATCTGCTGAGCCGTCCTCTGACTCTGGTTTTGTCTTTCTTTCTTTTTTTTTTTTTTTTTATTAATTTTTGAGGCAAAGTCTCATTGTGTAACCCTGGCAGTCCCAGAACTCCCTACATAGGCTGGTCTTAAACTCAAGAGATTTGTCTACCTCTGAAAGAGACCGTAAAGTCAGCACAAGACACCCCAAGACCAAGTTCTCAGCACAAAGGAGATTTGTTTGCCCCATAGGGACAAAGGTCAGGCAATAAGAGACAGAGACAGGAGACAGAGGATGAGGGAGATGGGAAGGGAACAAGGGAGGGGGCAGGGTATTTGTTCCGGAGGGATGAAGAGACAGATGTGGCCGTAGGCAAATGGCAGTTGATAATGAAAAAGGGGGAAACCTATGGTAGGCTGAGGTGTTTAACTTTGCTTAGTTATGTTAATTGGGGCAGCCAAATGGGGGCCTTTCATTGCTTGACTTCAACACTTTGATAGCTGGACCTTGGTGGTCAGCCTCAGGAGGAGGAAGTGGCCAAATAAGGGAACAGACCTTGGTGAGTACCTTTAAGAATGTAATCTAGCCTTTAATCCTTTAATTCCAGCACTCAGAGGCAGACAGATCTCTGTGAGTTCAAGGCCGGTCTGGTCTACAAAGTCAGTTCCAGGACAGCCAGGGATGTTACATAGAGAAACCCTGGGGAGAGAGAGAGAGAGAGAGAGAGAGAGAGAGAGAGAGAGAGAGAGAGAGAGAGAGAATTGTAATCTAATGATTTTTAGCAAGGGAGAGGGGAAGGGACAAGGGCAAGGCCTGCCAGAGCCCCTTTAGCCTCTGCCTCCAGAGTTTGGGATTAAAGGTATGTACCACCCCACCCAGCCCAAGACTTAGTTTATTTGTTTGTGTTCTGTGTATGAGTATTTTGCCTGCACATATGTCTGTGCACCACATGCATATAGTGCCCCAGCAGATCAGAAAGTGAAATCCGAGTCTCCTAGAACTGGAGTTATTGATGGGATGAGTCGCCATGGAGGTGCTGGGAACCAAACCTGGGACCTCTGCAAGAACAACAAGAACCCGAACAGCTGAGCCATCTCTCCAACCCCTAAATATTAGACAGTTTTTATTTAGGTATGTGTGTGTAAGAGGAACACACATAAACAGCTTTAAGTATGTACTGAATCTGTCCCTGAGGTCAATAGCCTGCAACCCACAACCCTTACCAACTACACAAAAAACACAAAGTTAGCAACTCAGTCACGGCAGTACAGAGTGAGGCTGGTAAAGGTGCCTTGAACAGGTGGATGGATGGGGGAGGGGAGCTGTTTGAAGGGGGCCCCAAAATAGCTTGACCACATGTGATAGCCTTATTGGCAGGCAACACCCAGATCCAGGAAAAGCCTTAAGCTGACACCACCCAGGGAACCACCCAGAGAAATGGAAGTACTTGACATCCCAAACATTCCAACCATTAGATAAGGTGGCCAGATGTCCTTGAGTCTAGCACACACCTATTTTTGTTTTACAGATACCTGTAGATAATTGTCAGCCAATCAGGATCCTGGACCCTGGATATCCCCTCAACCCAACCTCTGTTATGATAAAAACTCTGCCCCATCTGAGCTCAGGGCTCTCTGCTCTCATCTTGGACAGACAGAGGGACCAAGCTCTGGAGCTTGAAATAAAGGCTCTTTGCTTTTACATGCGGGATTCAGTCTCCATGGTGGTCTTTGGGGGTCCCTGCGATCTGGGCATAACAGGCTGCATATGACAGAGGTAGTCTTGCTTTCTTAGCATTTTTTAAAAGATTCATTTATTTTATGTATATGAGTCCTCTATCTGCATGTATCATTTTATGTGAGAAGAGAGCATCAGATTCCACTAGAGATGGTTGTGAGCCACCATGTGGTTGCTGAGAATTGAACTCAGGTTCTCTGGAAGAACAGTCAGTGCTCTTAACTGCTAAGCCATCTCCCCAGCCCCTGCTTTCCTAACATTTTAAACTAAAAGATGTGATTACCAGACGTTGTGAGGTACAACCTATGTACCCCACTTTATGATTCCCTTTCACAGAATTGTGTTTCCAGGGTCCCGGCAGTGTAACATCTGTGACTGCATGTAAGCTTTGTGAGTACAACCTGCCTCCCCCTTCTGCCCTGCTCCAATTAAGGTCACAGTTTTGTGACATAGATTTCTCTCTCATAACCAATTTCTGCATTGTTAATGATATAAATGTTAGCAGCAGCTAGGTGGAAGGGACATGCGATGTCTCTGTTATTTTACCAGCTACCTGTGAGGCTACAATTTCAAAATCATTTTATTCTAATTATTTTAATAAATCAAACCAAAAATAAAAGGAACAAGAAGGGCTGGATATTGAAAGCCCCTCTGGTGCCTGCCCACAGGAGATTTCTCCCAGAGTCCTGGGGAAGATGATACCAGCAGTGAGAATAATCTGAGTGAATGAATCTAAGCACACTGAGCTCTTTAGTTCACTCACTTTGTTCTTCTGAGACAAAATTCTATCTACACAGTTTCAGTTCTCTTCTCATACTTAGCTACTCTCTGTCCCTTCTCCTCCTGCCCTCTCATAGTTCTCACTAAGTTTTTTGTCTCATCCTCATCTTCGTCTTCATTCCTCTCCATCTAAGTTCCTCCTCGTTCCTCTATGGGAACCGGTCTCAAACCATACAAGCAGTCAGACTTCTACAATCCAATCCAAGGCTTTCAAGGTTCCCACAAGAGCAGTGACAGTCGGCTTCATTTGCAACCCAAAAGGGGAATGAATAAAGGAGGTGGGGTCAAATAAGGGCTGGAATCTGTTAATAAACCAGAAAGGGAATTTATGTGCTCAAAATATATTCTTAGAAGTGGTTAGGTGAAATTTTACAAGTTTATCATAAATGTCCTCAAACTACAATCTTAGAAGTGGTTAGGTAAAAGAGTCTATGAATCACTAAAATAAAACTGCCTTTTTCTATATCTCCGTTTTCTGACGGGGGGGGGGGGGGAGGAGCTAGGTGGCTTGCATCATAGCTTGAAGCACCTGATATGAAAAAACTCTTTGTCCTAAGTAAGTTGTTCAAGGATGCCGCTCTGGTTATGAGAGAAAGGAGGGCCTGAGCTTAATTTGCACAAGAAACAAAGCTATGCACCTAAAGTCCACCTGGTCTAGGCGGTGTCTCTGTATGGATATTTACCTTAATTGAAGAGACAGCAGGTGGTCTGGAATGCTTTTTTGTTTGCTATTGTCTTTGGATGTTTGAGAGGTATCTCAGATAAAATGCAGTTAGAAGTTCTTAGAAGACACATAGCATACAAGAAAATCATTGCAGGAACTGGCTGATAAATATTCAAAAGGCTAATATCACCAAGACTCCTTGAGGCTTGGTTTTTTTCTCTGGAAGAGCCCTGTTTCTTCCAGGTATTAGCTTTTGTTATACTCAGCTGAATTCCTGCTTCATATTCCTGTGGCCTGCAGCAGCTGGATTTGGTGGCACACACTTTTAACCTCAGCACTTGGGAAGCTGAATCGTGTATCTCTCTGTGAGTTTGAGGACAGCCTGGTCTATACAGTAAGTTCCAGACCAGCCATGGCTACATAAACTCTATTTTAAAAAGAAGAAGAAAGAGGAGGGGGGTTTAGTGCTTTCTTATCATAGTTTATGATAAACCCACAAACCATATGAGTTTCCTGTGAAAAAACTACACTTCTCAGCTTTCCTTGCAGCCAGGCCAAGCAGTTCCTGGAGGGAGAGACTATGTCCCACTCCGCCCCTTATAAGGGGCCATATGCCATCTTCTTCTGTAGGCATCCTGGCCATCCACACATGTGGATGACAAAATTGCGCTCTCACTGTGAGCAAACATGTCCCACCTAAGCTCAGACCAAGGCTCTTTTTTTTCTTTCTGTCTTCCATCTTGCTACAGCTGCCTTAAATAATCTAACCTGATGTCCTAACCCTTGGACCCGGCACAAAACACAAGTGCCCAACAACAATACAATCAAAACATGTCACCAGAAGGTACAGCCAGGAGGTCAGAAGATCAGGGTCATTCTTGGCTGCATACTGAGTCTGTGGCTTGTCTGGGCTATATGAAACAGTCTCAAGAACAAACCAAAAAATATGTTTTAGAGGCAGACAATCTGTGCTCAGTCTGGTCTATAAAGCTAGGTCCAGGCCAACCAAGGTTACACAGTCAGATTCTGTCTCAAAACAAAATGAACAAAACTCTACATTTCATCCCCAATTTGAAAAGAAAAATTTGAAGTTGGCAGGGTGACATCCCCTTGTAGTCCTAATTACTTGGGAGACTCAGTTGGGAAGATTGATCTACATCCTGAATTCTAGACCAGCCCGGGAAAACAACCAGACCTTCTGTTGGCATTTTGGCATGCCCCTTGGGGACCTGCCCTGTGTCCTGATGGAAAGTCCCTCTTAAAAAGACAACTCCTCCACAGGTGGTGACACACACCTGTAATCCCAGTGCTCGGGAGGCAGAGCCAGGCAGATCTCTGAGTTTGAGTCCAGCCTGGTCTACAGAGTGAGATCCAGGAGAGGCACCAAAACTACACAGAGAAACCCTGTCTCGAAAAACCAAAAAAAAAAAAAAAGAAAAAAGAAAAATAAAAAGATAACTCCTTCTCCCCCACCCCCATCTCTATCTCTATTCCCATGAGATGTACACCCTCGATCTCTCTCTCCCTCTCTCCCTATCTCTCTTTCCCTCTTCTGGCTCTCTTCCCCCCACCAAATAAAATTCTTCACTGAGCACTGTCTGCATGACATCTCTATCTCTCCTACCGTGGGGCACCTTGGCTCCACCCGCCAAGGCCTCTCTCATTACATTGGTTCCGTGATTCGGATAGACACTATTGGCAGCCCCTCACACGCCAGGATCCTGGACCCAGTCTACACACAACAGACTCAGGCTCACCTGATTGCTCACCACCTCATCCACCATCTGCAATCGCATAAATTTCAAACAGGTTAGTACTGTTGTGCCCAGATCGCGACCCCCAGAGAGACCACTGAAGATGAGCAAGCACACTGGAATGCAAAAGCAAGGTTTTAATTTGGGATATCCAAAAGCAATTCAAGCCTAGGCAGGGACTTCGTTCAACAGATCCAACACAGTGGAGGCTGAAGGAAGTGCCCAGCCTGAATTGTGCACAGTTTTTAAAGGCAAAATTACAATAGTGAGAGATTTCCCTACATGTACATTTCTGATTGGCTTGGGTCTAGGAATTCTTTGGAAATTATGACTTAATCGTGCATCTAAGTGGGGTGGATGCCCATCACTGTTCCTCATTGGCTGCCTTTGTGTGGGGACATCTTTATGGCTAAGCAATTACATGGAGACCAGGGTTGGGACACTCTGTGGTTGAACAGTTACCCTGTAGATCAGGGTTGGGACATTCCGGGGTCAAAGAGTCATTACCTAATGAATATCTTGTGCAATGAGTACCTTGTGACATGGCTACCTTGTGACTCTGTACTTTGTACTTTTCTAATTCCTGGAATCTGGGTTGACTGATTCCAGTAACTCAAGGCCTATGCCTAAAATGGAGAGATCTTAGGCCTTATTTTTAAGATGAAAGCATTTTGGTCTTATCTTTGATTTCACAATTACACCCCTCCAGAGCTGCCCACAGCTCCTTAAGGCCTTTTAGCTTTTTCGACAAGATTCCTGACCTTTCCTATGGATGAGATTCTTTCTCGCAGCTCAGTTTTCATTCTTGCCTCCTCGAAAATCCTAGTACTAGGTGCTGAGACTCCTGCTTAGCCAGGCTAAGCCGACCGCCGTTGAATGTGGCAATGGCCCTCTTCTACGGCTTGGTCCTCGGTCTGTTCCCCGCCAGTCCTGGGGACACTCACACCTACAGGCTGTAGTGACTCCTTTCCCCCCTCATCCATCGAAACCGTGATTTTTCAACACATTTATGACTCCTGTGAGCTATGTAAATCTGTTTCTGTTTTACACACTTACAGGTTCCTGCACAAGTCCACCCCTCCTGCCAGACTTGTGCCAAGACCAACCCTCAGGGGTTCTTCAAATACACTACCAGCCCCTGCACCAGCTCCTAGAATCCCAACAACCATCTGAGGACACCAACCAGGTGAATACTGACAGGTTAACTTCACGCACATGCCCACTCATAAAAACTGTTATCTCCTAATTCATTGACACTTTTACAGGGTGAATAGAGGCATTTCCACCTCCAGAGGAACAGCAGATGAGATGGCTCCTGTACTCCTGATTTGGTGTGCTGTTCCCCAAGCTCCTGGAACACCACTGCTGAAACCTGCCTTCTCAGCCCCCTCAGGGAACAGATGTCTGAGGTCTCCATGATAATGCTTCTTCACTCACACCTCCTGACATGCGTGACCCCGACTCCCAACTCTCCCCCCCACTTCACCCCAAAATCAGCAGGAAGCAATCTCGGGAATTCAGCGCCCTTGTTCCTACACTTGCTATCCATAACTCACCTTTTTATAATAATCAAAATGGAGGACCTGCCCCTTGGGGACCCACCCAGCTTCCTGATGTCATCTTTCCTTAAAGCACCCTTAAGAGGAACAAACCCCTCCCTCTCTCTTTCTCCCCTCTCTAGCCAGAGGTAGCATGCACCTCTCTCTCTCTCTCTCTCTCTCTCTCTCTCTCTCTCTCTCTCTCTCTCTCTCCTTTCTCCTTCCCTCTATTCCCTCTCCTCTCCCCTCAAACCCCAAAATAAACTTGCCATGTGGACGTTATGTCTGCCATGTGATTAACATTAACACCGTGCCTCACCTGCCTCAGGGCACCTTGATCCAAAACTCACCATGGCCTTCCGAGGGCCACATCATTACACCTTCTCTCAAAAACCCCAAATATACACACATTAAAATTAGGACACTGGGGAGCTGGAGGTGTGGCTTTGTGGTTAGAGCAACTGTTGCTCTTACAGAGGAAGGGTGTTTAGTTCCAAGCACCCATACTGGGAGGCTCACAACTGCCTGTGAATTCAAACTCAGGGCATCTGATGCCTTTGAACTCTGCTGACACGTTCATTAACAGGCACATGCCCATGTACAGACACACATATATAATTAAATACAATAAAAAGAAGGTGTTTTTTTTTTTTAAAGAAAAACTTAAAAATGTGAATGGTCTTAGGAGTCACTGGGCAACATGACACCTTTGTCACATGGTCTCTGCTGCCAGATGGACAAGACTTCTGCCTAAGATAGATAACCTGTGCTGGGCTCCATCAGAGGAAAGAAAATAGGAAATTTCAAGACCAGCCTGGACTTTTTGCCAATAAAACTTGATTTGAATCAGAGGGTAGAGCTAGCCTACTAGCTGATGAAAATTAAGCATAAAGGTTTTGGAGGACTGAGGACGGACAGAGAGACACCAGAAGTAGTAGGACAAGGCTTAGAGACGTTAGGATTCTGTACATGCACAGCTAGGGTCTTGTCTGATGCCTTACATCATCAGCAGGCAACTACGTACCACCTTAAAAAGCCAGCACAGACCCCCATGCTCCTCTCTGTGCTTCTCTCCCTGTGTTTCCTCTCTCTGTTCCTGCTCTGTTCCCTCTGCCAGGCCTGGCTTCTCCCTCCTATCCCCTCCTCTTTCTAATAAAGCCCATTCTAAGTCTGGTAACTGTGGCTCGTGACTCTTCTGCGGACCAACCAGCACCGTTCATCCTTTCAAGAGGGTCTTGGCCCTATTTGGATCAAAGGACAAAAGAGAGATGAGGTCACTGGTCACTTCTCTGACATTTCTCTGATCATTGAGGTTCTTACCCTAATATCTGACTCCCCAGTTTTTATTGATAAAGAATAATAAGATAAATGCTACAAATGGTGTCCAATGTGAGGCATGTATTTCCACATAAGACCTGAGAAAGCTTTAAAAAAAAAAGTTCCAAACACATAAAAACGGAGCCAAATTCGGCTTCCTAGCCCCTCATTCTCTAGTGCGGGCCACAGTGCAGAGATGTATCTCTCAGCTACTGCCTGCAAGCTTGAGCCACCAGCACACCATAAGCTAAGCTGCAAGGCAATTTAAGATTTTTGCTCATGCAGACAGAAAGCTTAAAGATATGCAATAAAGCAGGTTCAGACTTCAGATGGGAAAAAAAAACTCTAAACATTGTGTTTAAAAATGTGAATAGGCTTAGAAAAGAAAAGAAAATGGTTATAGACCATCAAAGACAAAGTATACCATTTATAAATAATTTTTTTTTAAAAAGAATAAGCCACATAGAGATGGGAAATACACAGGGAGTCTGGATCCTGTATGGTGTTCTATTGACTTTAAATATTTTGATTGCTGATGAGCAAACAATAGCTAGTGAGAGACATTAGATTTTAAAAACCTCTAAATTAAACCAACTTATATATTTTTAAAATATCTTAACTTCAAAATGGAAGTAAAAAAATATGTTTCATTGGGAACGAGGTATGCTTTTGTTTTCACAAATGAAAGGCTGTGGATTCCTTCTAGGTTAATAGAGATCAGATTCGACCAGGGCATACTTCCTGAATATCTTGGTTATAGACATGGGGGAGGAAGCCAAGGAAGACTACAGGACAGGTGACATGTAAACTGATCCCTCTGCATAGAAACGGAAATGAGTTATAAATCTTGTTGGCTACATAGTCCTCATGACTTATTATTTTTACATGCCATCCTTTCATATGGCATGGATATAAATTTGTGTTACAGTTTGATTATACAGTCCAAATGAACTTATACAGTTGACAGATGCCTCAAACATAGAACTAAAAAAATCATCTTTTACTGACTTGTACACACCACATATTCCATACTTTCGTTAATGCAAATATGTATGTTACCTCTAAAAGTTTGTGTGTTTTCAAAGCAAGGGGGCTGGACATCAATGAAAACAGGTAGCCCAGGTGACTCTGCCTCTCAGATGCCTCTGTTGCAGTTTCCTCAGAGTTCTGTATTCAGAACAACTTATGACTGCTGGCTGAGATGGTCCAGCCTCACAGACTATTCAAACAAGGACCTGACCATTATCCTATTTTTCTCAGGGTCCTCCAAAGATTCCAGCATCCTCAAAAAATAGGAAGCAGTCTAGAGAACACAATTCCCACATTCCCAAGAGGTGGGGTGGATAGTTTTGGGTTACTCAATGGGTTATGGATGTTTGCATCATTTAGGGAGATTGGTTACAAGTTGTTATTGCCATGGTCAGGGAGAAAGCTAAACAAAGATTAGATTCAAGGGGAAAAAAGGGTAGGTATAATATAGAAATGATGAGATAAAAAGGTAGATTGTTAAGTTTACTTTTGAATAACTACTAGTCTCAAATATTTTACATTAGTATGGATTTTTATATATTGATACAAATTTAAAGTTATTTTTGTTACTCTGTATATATGTTTCTATTTTTAAGGTATTTTTGTATATTGATACAAATTTAAGGTTATTTTTGTTGGAACATACTGTACATGTTTCTACTCTTGTTTAAGGTACTGTACCTATGAAGCTCATTTAATAATGTAATATAAATTTCTGGTCCTTAAAAGTTATTACAAACTATTTAGGATAATAAAGAAATGCAGGTTGGTAGTTAGTCACCTATTACAGTTAAACTTGTAGTCATGTTAGGTATGTTTTCAAGGTAAAATAGATATATTTTAAATAGACAGGTGGTCTTCAAACACTTCAGAGATCTACAGAATATGACACTTAAGATATTTCATAACATTTAATAACATAAGACTTTTCATGACAATGAGACACATCTGCTCCTGGCAGCAATGATCTACTTCAGATGAGATGATGGGCATTGAAGAACCTCCACATGGAGCTTGCTTTCTGTGGGGCAAAAGTTAGCCACTGGGCAAGAAACTGCCCCTGCCTCAACTGCAGACAGTATGGTGTCCAAATTAGACAAGTAGAGCACAAAAGAAAGTAACTGCCAAACTTTGCCAAGACAAGGCAGGACAGTCCTTCAAAATTCCTGCTTCAAAGAAAAATCTATTAGATATTCTAGGCCTGTAGGCCAAAGATGGATGTCCCAATGTTACAGAGAAACCTTGGTTGACTGTCCAGGAAATCAGCTGTTTCTGTAATTTCTATAGTTTTGGAATTTGTTTGCTCTGCACGTCCTGTTTACTCAGGTAATATTATACCCTTCTCAGGTCTGTGACAGAGTTGAAGACTAGATAGTTATAGTTACAGTTTTCCTTGTTATCAAATTCAGAAAAGAAACTCATGAAAGAGATGTAAATTATATAAGATTGAGAGATATAAAAGCTTAAATTGTTTGTCTAAGAAAATGTTTGAGGTATAAAAAAAGAATAGTTTTGAGTTAGTAATGCAAGTTAGGTTAGAAAATGAATTAGGTACAAAACTTTGGACTCACCAAGATACGATAAATAATGGAGTATTTTTTCTGAATTTGCCAAATGCAAATGGACGGTACATTGTGAATATAATTCTTCACTGATAATTGTTCTTATTGTATATAGTTTTTCTGTGTCAGAGTTAAAACCTTCCTTTTTTTTGACAAAAAGGGGGAAATGTGTGATATTTTGATAGCATTCTGATGCTCCTGAGACTGCCAATAAAATTTGCTTTGAATCAGAGTGGAGCTAGCTACTAGCTGACTCAAAGTAACCATAGAGCTTTTGGAGGGCTGAGGACAGATAGACACAGGAATCAGTAGGGCAGGGTTTAGAGAGGATTTTAGCCCTTTTTTGGATGGAACGAAGGGTGTGTGTCACTGATCACTTCTCTTACCCCGATATCTGACTCCCAATTTTTTATTGATAAAGAATAATTAGATAAATTTTTTAGGTAGTAGGAGCCAGACTGGTCCAGGCTGGTCTTGGTGCCTTGTACAAAAGCACCAGGACCTCATGGCACAGGTGCCCCACAACCTCAGCATGCGCTGCATGAACACTTCAAGGTCCATGCATGGCAGGGGACAGTAATCAGAGGGACTCACACTGTGGCAGTCATCCCCAGCAACCTCTCCTTCAACCCTGATGACTTAAAAATACTTTACGCTCTGCTAATTTGCCATTCTTTTTTTAAATATTTATTTTTATTTTATGTGCATTGGTGTTTTGCCATGGGTGTTGGGTCCCCTGAAACTGGAATTACAGACAGTTGTGAGCTGCCATGGTAGGTGTTGGGAATTGAACCTGGGTCCTCTGGAAGACCAGTCAGTGTTCTTAACCACTGAGCCATCTCTCCAGGCCCTAATTTGCCATTCTTTAGTCTGTGTGTTAGTTTGAGATTCTATTGCTACAATGAAACACCATGACCAAAAGCAAGTTAGGGAGGAAAGGGTTTATTTGGCTTACACTTCCACATCACTGCTCATCATCTAAGGAAATCAAGATAGTGCTGGACTCCAGCTCCAGCAGAGCTCAAGTCCCAAAAAGGAGATGTGGAGCCGATAAAGGGAAGGAGGAGAATGACATAATCTGAGGGTTAATCGGGATGGCTGCAGACTATTTTTGAATAAGCCTTTATTGAAAAAGGGCTAAACCTTTTATATTCTATAATTGTACAGTAGTTTAGCCATAGCAAGATTGAAAACAGGCTCAATGATTTAGGGCAAAAGTGGCCATTAACTTCATTGCAGCATTTTTCCTGAGACAAGTGATAGTTCAACAAGTGTCTAAATGCCTATTGTTCTCAAAGGTTCAGTAACTCTACCAGGCACCCTCTTACATCAATAGAAGGGCCACAGTTCCTTCTACCAGATATAAGGAGAATG